CACACACACACACACACACACACACACACACACACATACATATATGTATATATATATATATATATAATAATTACAATGCATGTAATATCGCTGATAATAGAACTTATGTTTTTTTTTTTTTAATGTGCCAAAATTGTTCAACGGGATATATATTTTTAGAAAGAAGATTCTTATATATATTTTATATTTATCGTTTAATTAAATTTGATCATTGATACGTATCTACGTTTTATTTTTAACGTATATAAGAGTCAAATAATACATACCATATTTCATATATATCTTCTCTGTTTCGCTAGATTGACTGTTAGCCGCGCAGAGCAAGAATGAAAGATCCAAATGCGAAACATTTGTTAGACTTTTAGCAGTTAGACTTTCGCAGTCCGTTCGCTACATTAAATTATTCAATTTCATTGAATCATTCTCTTTCTCGACGTTCCTTTTAACGACGACTCCACGTTCGGAACATATATACTCGTGGGGCAGTAATACCGGATATCATTCGGAAATGATATCCGGTTTCGACACGTATTATGCGTGAAACGCATGATACACTCTTTTTTCTTTTTTGCTTTTAGATAATTAGATAGAAATATTCTATAAGAAGGCGTCATGTCATTCACGACACCGAGACATGCATTAACAGTGATGTTATTGTCACGACACGACGACAGTATACATATCTTTTATCTACTTCGCGCTTTGCGCTTTCGTGTTGACGGTTTAATTTAATTAAGCTCTTCGAGCGACCGACTTTCTTATTTTATTTTCAATCTAGCAACTTCACCATCAGTTTTAACGCCTGATGAGGCGGCGCCGGTCTGATGGACTTGTCCAATTCCGCATACGAGATCTCTGCCTCCACCTTGAAACCGTGCTTCAGACAGACCTTCTGTGAAAATGCACCGGTCGCGTCGGCCTTACACACCTGCAATGATATAATAGACCAAATTGATTCTTATTTTCTTTATTAATTTCTATTTTGAATAAAATTAAGATCTCTCTCTCTCTCTCTCTCTCTCTCTCTCTCTCTCTCTCAAGTCTTTTAAAGGAAATTGAACAAGTTCCTAAAATAAGTGGATTGAAGTAAGAAGATTTAAGAAATAGAAATAATTTTGAAATCGTTCTCAATTTATCTCAATAAATCAATTTACCTCTTATTTTTCTAACTGATTAAAATTAAAAGAAACAAAAGTATTAATAATAATCATAATTAAATAGTGACTGTTAATCGACTTTACGGTAAATATCATCTACATATCAGTCATTTTGTTAGAATCAGATAGCCAAGATATATTTCTAGAATCAATGTTATTTAGCCACTAGATTCTGAAAGTTATTAATAATAAAAATAATGCATTTATTCGTTTACATTGATTTATTATTCATTATATTATTTATTCGTATTATTTATTAATGATATTTTATAATTTACTTATGATATTTAATTTATTCATTATATTAATCTGATCCTTTGCTGTGGGAGGGGAAGAGCGAGGGTGCAAGAAATACCTTTCAGAAAAGTAACGAGTGATGGATTGCAATTATACCTCATGAAGAAGTTAACGAAAAATCATCCCATGCATATTAACCGAAGAGCATGCTGAAACAAAAGGAAAGTGTGTGCTGTGTACGCAAACCAATTACGTCAACGCAACGATCTTAAATTAATAAAATGAAAATAAAAAATACGAAAAGCTCTCTTTATAACATGTAAAATCAATAAAATAACTGCATAAATATATATATTGCCGCTTTAATAAAAAAAAAAACATTTTTTTGCGAACTTCGTAAATGTCGTACAAAATTACATTGATTTTCTTCCTCTGCAAAAAGAATTGATGAATAATTTCTATCCGTGATATTCTACAGTATACAGAACAAATAAAATTTCACAATTAAAATAGATCAATTTATGATTAAGTTGAAATTAAGAAGAGATAGAATTATATATAGATTCATAATTAAAATTTCATAGACAAATAAATTCAAATAGATAAATTAAATATAAAAGATAAATGAAAGGATAAATAAATTATAAATAAGTAAAAATCGAGTTAATTTACCTTGAAATTGGCATTTTGGGCGGTTTTCAAGCTATCGGCCATGAGAATATTGGCCAAACCTTTGCCGCGGTGATCCGCGTCAACGCTGAGAATCCGACACTCGAATAGCTCATCCACATCATACTTGGCGAACAAATCAACCTTGTCGTTCAACTTATAGAGTAATCTGAAGATCGTCTTGAACTTTTCGTCATCCAACTCGTCGAGACGCCGTTCTGCTTCCTCGCGCTCACCTTTCTTCAGAATACCATTTAGTGCCATTCCCGCTATCTGATAAAAATAAATTATAAATTAATTCAATGATTCTTCGTTATGTTAAAACCAGATATTGCAACCTTCAGAAATAAAAAAGTAAATAGAAATAAAACTAAAAGATTTTAATTATATTATCGTTATAAGAAAAACTAGTTATGGGAATAAACAGAGAAAGTTATAAATTTAAAAAATATTAAATTAATCAGAAAATTCTTTTCATTTTTTAAATGTATTGCGAATTAATAATTTCTATACAAATAAAAATATAAATGACGAATTTCCTGTATGAAGAAAATGGTTAATAGAGTATTTAAAAATAAAAAAATTTATTATCATCGCTTATTTTAATTTTAAATAATTATCACTAATAATGTAAAAAATATTAAATTGTTAAAATATTTATAAGTAAATAAATAAATAAAAACAAAAAAATTTGAAACAAGTTAATTCTTCTTTCGAAGTAACAATGAAGCAATTATTATATGTATTTCATGAGGGGGGGGGGGAGGAAGTCGCTCACCGCTCCCTTCTTATTCACTAGCATCCTGGAGTAACCCTGCTTCAAGGTGAAAAGGCAGTGTCGCTCAAGTTCGCGCTGAGATTCCCCCCTCGCGCAAAGCCCTACGGCGTTGTTGAGCGGCTCATCGGCAAAGAAGTTCCATCTCAAATGGTGGATCGCCTCCTCGTAGCGATCTTCCGGTACATCCACGACCGTGAGACAATCCTCGCTAGAAGACGACGACATGTTTCGGGTGGGCGAATTTTATGCCGCGCACTGAAAGCAATTTCCACACGCGCATCTCCTCGTGAAGAAGGGTGGTCACCACCTCTCGTGTGAGAAAACTGCCTCCCTTCCTCCCGTACAATATTGATCGACCTAGTTCACTGGCGAGTACACTGGGTCAGTTGTACACGTCGATTGTGCCACGTTAATTGGGAAATAAAATAATTTTACGAGATTAATCAAAATTACATTAAAATGACCTAATTAGTCTAATCAGATACAATTTGTAAACAAAATTTTATTAAATCAATTTATATTCTTTTTTTAAAAGAGTTATCACTATCTGCCATGTCGAGATTGTAAACATAAAAGTTGTTTGCGCGCAATGTCTATATCATCAAATTCCAGTCAAAATTATATCAATTTCAGTTTGAGCGAATCGTGGTTTGAAAATTTTGAAATAAATTTTATTGAATAAATTAAATGTATATGATCAAGATTTGCATTTCAATGATTCGGCGTCTTCTTCTATTTTAAATATCTCGTGTTCACATTTCTGTAAAAATTTGAAAAGAACAGAATAAGAACGACAAAGCAGAGATTGAGGTAATTAATAATTAAAAGATAGTACAAAATATATATACATATACATATATTTATTTATCGGATTGTACAATTCCTCGCATCATAAAAGCCAGAAATGATACGAATGATGATGGAATGATTTGCGATATATGGAATTAAAATAATAAACTCTGTTCGTTATTTTAAAATTAAAATACTCAGAATACTTTTAACTGTAAGAAGTAATTGCGTTGATATTGTATGCATATTACATAATTACATGCATGATACATAATTACTAATTTATACAAATTGCTGCCCAACAAATACTATAAAAATGTATCTTTCGAGAAATAAACAATATTAACAATGGCTTTTTTAAAGCGGAAAAGGGACTACCAACGACATTCTCTAAAATGTACAAACGAGACTGTCGTGGTTCCGATGTAATTTATGGATGTTCTTTCTATTTAGATATTAACATCTTAATTTATAATGTAATATTTACAGTATTTAAAACAGCACATCATCATCGCTCTCATCAAGCAGATTTGCAGCGTCAGAATATTGTCCAGTTGCAATCATTTCTGCTCTTTCTATTTCAGCCTATAACAGCGAAAAAGAAAATTCAGAGATTTAGTTACTACATAAACCATTAAAAAAGCACATAAATAATGGAACATATTCTTAGGATGATAATAAGTAGAAAAAATATTAATAACATTAATAAAATAAATTATCTAAACGTACCTTTGCCTTGGCAATCTTCTTTTTATCCTGAATCTTCTTCAGCCGATAAAACTCCTCTCTTTCGAGCTCATCAAGCTCTGAAATAATATAGGCTAGCGTCCTCTCAATTCGTGGGATGATAACGTGCTCGATAGCATTGACACGTCGATTCGTGATCTTGATAACTTCGTCGAGAGTAACAAAACTCGTTTGCAGCGACGCCAGTTCTACGAGCAATTTCACTGCCCGCTGATAGTTCTTCTTCAGTTTGGACAATTGTTGACCGCCTCTGGCCAGACCTGCTAATTCATAAGTGTCCGTTCCATCCTGATAGGACTCGAATATCGGTAGGTTCACACCGGCAACGTTGTCTTTCTTAGAACGGATCTTGATCTGTGCTTTCGTCACATTTTGCAGAACCACCTGATTGAAATCTCCCGTAGCAAATTTTGCTTCTGCCAACGAGAAGGCTGCCTCCTTCATCACTTCACCCATCAGAGTTTTGGTCTAAAAATAAGAAAAAGAACAATGCACAAATTAGATCATATACATATATAAATGTATGTGTATACATATATAAATAACAATACATAACAAGTTCAATATATAAAAATTCAATAATAATATATAAAAAGAGATAGATAAATTAAAACTAGAGTAAATAATATGATAGACAGTGTACAATAGAGATAATAAAATTGACAAAAATTAATCATACTTCTATGATTTTCCCTAGTATCATTCTGAAGCGCATTTGCAGTGCGTCTGCCTTTTTCTTCAACAATCCATGTCCCTTTTGTGCTCCTTGTAAGCGAAACTTCATCAACATTTGGGCCCTAAGTACACAAACTTTAATAAGTGCATAGTCTATGATAAATGAATAAGAATAACTAAATAATAAAATGTTATAAGTCTTAAAACATACTAGTATCTTCATTTTCTAAATTGTTAAAGTATACTAATCTTGTATACTTAAAATACATATTACTGTTCATAAATTTTGTATTACGTCATTAAATATACAAATTCGTAAATTAAATTTCTTGACAAACAATTGACATTTTTGCTGCAAAGCAGGGAAAATAAGGAAATAAAGAACTTCGCTCTCTCTTACACAAACATCGATCTCGACGAAATATCCCTTAAAATGTATCGTGTAACAAACACTTGCAAACAGAAATTTGCAAATTAATATTCTTCATGAAAATTAAGACGTTCTGGTAAAGTAAAACAGAGTCAGAATCCTTAAATAAACATTCACGTTCCTTTAACAGTTGAAGGCTGGGGTTACACCCAGTGGTGCAGTATGTTTTAAAACGGAATTCTGCTCGAAAATAATGACGACGCATGATATACGAATGAAATCGTCGAGATTTTGTAAAAATGAGTATGTTAAAACAAGTAACTTACCCCCGAGAGGGGAAAATCGGTAGTCTGTCTCTGCCTGACATTCTCGATCACTGTGCATCAGCAGACAGGAACGGGATTGATCAGCTGACTTGAGCTGACACGAGAGACCGGAAGTCTAGCCAGTTGCGTTCTCAACGGCGCGCGATTTTAAAAACGTACACGTTGTGCAGACCAATGCGGTTGCTAAAAACAAATACAAAATGAAAATTGACATATTCTTTATAGTTAATTTAACATATACCTTTATTTGATTTAATGTACATTTTGATACGCTCATATAAAATCAAAGCGTAAATATAATTGGAATAAAAAATACATAAAGTGATACTCAAATGTAACATAGAAGTCTCGTATTTTTTGTCAAAATAAAATCTCTGTAATATTATTATTGAATATTATCATGATACTTGGCAGACAATTTAACTTAAATGTTAGAGAAAAAGATTTCTATTGATTATTGCAGAATTTTTATCTTTCAGCAGATGTTTTATTAAAACATGAAATTGATCAACCGGTCTATACTGTCTGTAAGAATAATTTTATGTAAGTTAAAAAATAACGCATTAGCTATAATAAATATGTATATTCACTGGTTTCCATTGTTAATTGAAAATTTATAATTTACGACACGTTACATACACTATAGATTTTCAGCGAATACCGACATTACCGACAGTGAATATCAAAACTGAGGGACGTAAACAAACTAGTAAGGTTAGAATATCGAATAACTGAAAATTTAGCAGAGAACATAAAAACAGCTCTGCTAAATAAAGAGAAATTAGAAGCTGAGTTATCTAAAGTTTCAGATGGAAAAAATTAATATCGAAAGTTGTATTTTTTTTTAAATGAATAAAGGAATGTAAGTGAAGGTTAGTTGGTTCAAAATCAACTAATTATAATGTAAGTTTTGAAAATGAATTGGCTAAATATCTTGATGATATAGCAGAGATTGACAACAAAACTGTGCAAAATTTTTAATAGATCTGGTTAGGGAAGCACTAGAAGAAGATATAGAACTGTCAAAAAATATTGCATTATTGTGACGTTTCAGGTGCAGAGTTAATTGGAGCTGAGGATGTGGATTGGGATAAAATATTGCCTGCAGAAACGATTGATGAAGAACGTGAACAGAAATGCAATTGCCGTAATTTAAAGAAACTTGTTACATACTTAATAAAATTCCAAATAGTAACAAATGATGGAAAACGTAATTGTAGATCTGTCGCACTGGAACCAAAGGGTAGATTTCAAGTTAGCAAAAGAAGATGGAATAATTGGAATACTTCACAAAGCAACCCAAGGGGTAAAATATATAGATCCAATTTACGCAGAAAGAAGAAAAGCCGCTGAAGAAGAGAATTTGATGTGGGGTGCGTATCATTTTGGAATAGGAGAAGACGGCAAAGACCAAGCTGAATATTTTCTGAGAACAGTCGGAAATGTTTCTCAAGTAACGCTAGTCCTTGATATTGAAGAGAACCGAAATGGGAAAAATATAACGCCGAAACAAGCGGAAGAGTTTGTTAATCGAGTTCATGAAGCAACTGGGCGTTTTCCACTGATCTATGGAAGTCCTTATTTTCTCAAGGACTTTGCTACACCGATTTTAACAAATTGTCTATTGTGGGTGGTAAAATGGGATGTAAGACCAATGTTACCAAGAGGATGGAAAAAATGGGTTCTATGGCAATACACTAATGGTCAATTGGGACCTGAACCACATTCTGTGAAGGGGATTGGCCCATGTGATCGAAGTAAATTCAACGGAACACTAGAAGAGTTAAAGGATTTTTGGGCATCAAAATGTTACTGAAATCATTCAAACAATTATTCCACAAACCACCAAAATCATAAAGTTTAGTATGGGATATCTTTAATATTTTGGATCAAAATGTAAAATAAAAACCTGAAGATCTAAGCAGGCAATTTGAAGTTACCAAAGGGCTGAGACAAGGGTGTGCATCACCAACATTATTATCTGCAGATGTAAGTTTTTCGAATATGTGAAAATATGTTTATGAAATCATAATTTTTACATTTGTAATCTCCTCTATGTTATTTATTATTTATAATATAGATACGAAGTCTGACTGATTTTGCTTGGGGAAATGTGTCTCATAACTCTACAATGATTCTTTATAGTAGAAATCGATCTTGAATCTTGAATGATTCTTTATGATGTCTGTGATTGTAAGCACATATCTCGCGCGAATTATCTTATCTGATTATATATACTTGATAAATTGTATTAATTGTATTACAATTATCAACAATTTATTTAACATTTTTCCAATATATGCGACATTCTTGCACAAAAATAAATTTAATTTTTTTGGAGATGCAGCACATTATGTTATCATGATCGCGATGTTAGGTAGACTGATGACAAAAATATTTTGGTTACACTATTTAGAGTAAAAATAACTTCCGAAAAGGCAGAAAATACATTTATAAAAATGCAGAACACTACATAAAAAAAATTAGGCTATACATTATTCAGTATTTTTCATACATTATCAATCTTTAAATTTTTATGAAATTCTGTAAAGTAACTGAATTGTCTAAAATTACTTAAAATCACCAGTGTAACTTAATATTATAATTCAAACAATATTATAATTCTGTGTACCCATTTCCATATATATCTTTAATATTTATGTACATAAAATCACAATGCGGTTCAGTATAATACAATCTGCCCAGGTTTCAAAACCTGTCTTACATTCATATTAATCCTAGCTTCGGTGATGTAAGTTCGTGCTTTGCGCCAATCGTCCAGATTGTACGCGGGACCTTCACTATTACCTTCACAATTGTCGTCCCAGGGTGCTTTGGACCCTGGTAAAATCCGCGGCACTCCGTGATATCTCAGACGGGAGCTTCCCGACATTATCACTACGTCACCACTCCGCAGAAAAATAGCGTTAGCCGGATCTTCCTGTCTAAGACCACCAATCAGAAATACCGCTGTCTGTCCGAAACTTATGGAGAAAAGTGGCGCTGTAACGTTCATTTCCGAATGATCCGTATGCCCCGCTAAAGTTGAGTTCATCCGATAGTAATTCACAATCGCAGCTTCCGCTTTGAAATCCGAGAAACCTGATGCTTTTGCCAAAACGGACGTTAGGCCGGATAATTCCGTCGGCATGTCGCTTTTCGAGTTTTCCGAGTATAATTTTGTGTCCCAATTGTGATGATATCCCAGTGTCGCCCATCGCAGCTTGGGTAGGAGAGTTTTAGCCCTGTCCTTCCTATGTACAATAAAAACCAACAAAATCTTAATATAGATATCAATACAGATTTTCATTAGACAGCTATATTGAATTATTACAAAAATATTCACTAAAAATATTAATCTTCAAATTTAAGTTTTCTACCATAAAAGTTACATCACTACTAATTTGACAATCATTCCTTACTGAAAACATATGTCCCACCACGTTTCGTTATCTAAAATGTTATGAGCGTCTATATTTAACTTGTATGGCTCCTTAGAGTAATCTTTCAGACATTTTGTGGTCCAGTATCGTTGGCCATCAGGTGTAAATGGATTCTGGATAAAGATGAATCCTAAAAGTAAAGATATAAGTAAGTCAGACAAGTAAAGATAAGCAGGTATATAGAATCAAGTATATTAATTACTATACAATCTCTTATGAAACGGTGTTATTACTAGTTAAAAGTAATATTGTATAAACAAAACTTAAACAAGCATTGATGTAACATGAAAACAATATTATTGACGATATTGTTATTTAAAAATGAGTTTAATTATTATTTTATATAAAATTTGCTCACCAGGAATGGCCAATAACTCGTAAATGCTCCATTTCCTCACCGAATTGAGGCCGAAATTGTTCTCGGTCCATTCGCCAGTTATGCGCGCCTCGATCTTTCTAACCTAAAAACAACATTCGCGATTAACACTCAAAATAGGATATACGAATCGCGATATCACGTACCCCGACGCGATCTGGACTTTCGAGATCGATCACGTTGCCGAGATCGGGTGTGGGATTTCGGCTTTTGTAGTATTTGAAACTGTCCCGAAACATTTTTCCTCGATCGTGCGGCCGCCATGTTTCCTTCGCACTTTGCTAGAGCTAGCGCCAGCGGCCAAACGCGAGATGACTCAGATGACGTCTGCGGGCGCTTTCTTTCGTCGAATTTCGAAATACGATTCTAAACACGCGGGGTTGCAATCGCGCTCAAATCATGCCAAAAAAGTCGGAAAGAAATATATATATAGAAGTTATGCGGGCAACGTGACATTCTATAATCACATTTTATGTAACTGGGTCCAGAAACTATATCTGTACATCCTATACATTCTTAAGGATTATACAGAAAATGAGTCAGGATTTGATACGAAACATAATAGCACACGCAAACAAAATAGATATAAAGATCGAATATTGAAGAGATGTGTTGGATATAAAACTTAATTTTATAAAGTCTGGAAAAATTTTGATTGTCGCGTTTGCGCGGTAAATAATTCGATTCTTAGACCATGCGTGTTGGAGCGTATCGACAGTATACGCTCGCGGATATACTGTCTGACTAAGAGCGGAAAAACGTGCCCGAACCGGGTGGACACGTAAACTATGCGCCACCCACTATTATTACTCAATATACTTTGCATATCTTCATCAAGCGCGAGATTACATCGGGAAAGCGTGCCGTTTTTTCTCACATTGTGTACCCGAGGTATTCGGAGGCCTTAGAGTCAACATCTAGAAGCATCGAGTTTCGAAAGTTTCCTAAAAATCTGAAAATAACGAAGAAAAATAATAAATTATATCATATAGAGTTACACAATAATATAATTTATTTATATTATACTTATTTCCAAAAATAAATAAACAAAAAATAATTCCCAAACTTTTTGTCTCGTCCACATTAAATATTGGTTAAATAAAAAAAGATTTATGTTTTTTAAGATCAATACTTTCAAAAGAGTTATGTCAATTTATTGTTATTTGTAATGTAATTTGTAATATATAATGTTTGATTTACGCAAATGAAAATCAAGGACTATTAAACAGAACTGTCAAGCAATTAATGGGAAGTTATATTTCAAATTATGCGATCTTTGTTTGTAAAAAAAAAAAATCGACTCATTCCTACGATCGCACGAATTACTCTTTATGAATGAGTAAATTAATCGTCGCCCAAGTTAATCGGAGTTTGATCCAAGTCATCTTAAATCCGCCACTTGTTCGCGCGACGCGTGCAATAATCGTTTGTGACTAATTTTAGCGTGCGATTTTTCACATAATGCGGCATTGCCGAGAAACGGCGTGATTTCATAGGATAGCTGCGAGCAGGGCAGGGCACCGCGTGCAGCAGCGCCTCTCAAGGCTTTTCGAAAGCCTTTATACCGCGAGTAAATTAATAGACGCGGCAGGCCGCGGTAATAATGATCGTCCATTACCGTCGCGCTTCTATTCGCCATAAATCTCGCCCACCCGCCTAACCTGACTACACGCTAAATCCGTTGTTCACCCGCACACCTGCGACGGTCGTCGCGTATCGATCGCTGTTCGATCGACCCAAATAGCAAAATCTATTATCAGTCGACGAAAAAAAAAAAAATTAACGATCGCGATACACGTAAAAATTATAGAACAACTTAGAGACCGCAGAAAAAGTTACTTATTAATAAAAACGTCATAAAAATCAGTTACACCATTTCTTTCGCGATGAAGTAATAAAATTATGGCTTTTTCATTTTTCATAGAATTAGACTATCGTTTTTTTTTTGTTTGCCTATTTTCTATCTGTTTTATTTAACGCTTGCGTTCTGTCTGAAATTAAATATATTCTCTATATGGAGCTAATTACATTTCCATTAATCGTGAACAACGAGGTTGACATCGCAACAGCTAGCGTCAAATGATTTCCAATTCTGCAAATTAGAACGTAAAGTTTATGTAAATATTTTTCACGCGGGGCTCTGTTTGTCTAGTCTTCGTCCAGGCGGCCGCGCCAGTAAAAAATCTTTCGCGCTGTCAGGAGACTGACGTTTTCTGGCAGAATTGAGGCGCTCTAGGAGTGCCTATAGAGAGGAGCGCGACACGCACGCGGATCGAATGTGCCGGCGTGACGCGGTAAGGGAGTGGTGCGCGTACTCTCCCTGACAGTTTCATGTCAACAAATGTCGCGGCCGAGGCGTCGCGCCCAGCCGAGTCGAGCAGAGCCAGCCTGCCTGCCTGCCTCTGCCAGCCAGCCAGCCAGCCAGAGACAGCCCCGGCGAGATCCGCCGGCGCGTATTCGCGGAGTCGCGGCCGCGGCCAATCGCGGCGACGCGCGACGTCACCGCCGGCCAATCGGCGCGCGCCGCGGTGACGACGCGGGCTAAATATAGCCGGTATATATCTAGGCCGGTCGCGACCGCGAATTATCCACAGTCGCGCGCCGGCGGCCGACGGAGGAGGATAAGTGGAATATCGAACGGAGCGGATTTTAAGTGCGTGCGCAGTGCGCGAAGTGCGAACACACCGGGGCGCCGGACACCGAGACGTTTCGAAGGTAGGAATCCGATACAGATGCGCCTTTCAAAATCGAAACGTCCGTCTCTTTCGTTTAAACGCAATAAGTTTCGCGTCGAAACAAACCGACCGCGAGAAGGTAGCTGCGGAAGGAAGGAAGGGAGGAAGGAGGTGCTCTCGCGTCAAATTCGAAGCACGTGTTCGCCATAATAAACATGAGCTCCGTTCGCAATAAACACGGCTCGTACGGCTATTCTCGAGCCGCGTCCGAGATCGGCGGACAGATCGCTGAATTGTTTCGCGACTTTTGGCCAGGCGTGGATTTCGGTCGAGTGCGCCGCCGAGCGCGGCGTGAAGTGCGCAACGTACGGCGCGGCGTGACGTTGCGCACGCGAGATGATCGAAGTACGCGCGTTCGATAGCGTCGCGTGATCTGTACTATCTGTGCGATTTAATCGCTTTCTTTGGACTTTTCTTGACTTTCTGACATTATCGAAAGCGCCGGTCTTCTTAACTTCGCATAGAAATAAATAGATTATTTGATGCAATGTATTACTTTAACAAATTGTTTTATGTATATACATATATAAAAACAATAAACACATATTAATTACGATATATTATTGCCGAAGGATTGTTTCCGCAAGAAAGCAAATAAATAAAGATCGCGACGTTAAATACGACAGGCGGATGCACGCAGCAGTTTCAAATTGGGCGCGAGATATCGAGATCGCGTTCGATATATCGAGGGTATTACGTCACGGGGCCAAAGGGAGAGATTAGCGGCAGTACGCTTATGCCTTGACGTTTACATCCGATAAGGTTATTACGTGTCGGATTGACATAATGCCCATGCGCCTAAGGCTTTGTAGTCACGCGTGATCTCCCGCGACCGTCGCGCGGTCGATTTCTTCCCACGGAGGATTTTTTCCCCGATACACGGGGTTCGCGCGTATGCACGTGAGATTCAAATCGCGGCGCCGCCGCCGATACTCCGAAGTTAGACGTCAGACCGATCGCGAGCGCGATTTGGATTGATTTACGTGGGTTTTATAGCCACGGGCTCGCAATTGCTCAAGGTCGCGACGCCACGAAGTAGAACTTCGCTGCCATCGTAGTTGCAATGTTGCCACGAGAGCTCGCGGTGGAATACATATCGCGCGTTTAAACGCGCCTCGTGTGCACTCGCTCCTATTCGTTGAAAACATTTTAAGAACAAGAGAGAAGGAGAATTTAAAACTCGCTTGTTCCAAAAGCATGTTTTAGAGCTTTCAACTTTTTTGTCCAGAAAGTCAAATTAAAATCTTCTGGGGAGGTATAATGACCGGGGGGCTAAGTTTTGTTCGGTTTTATTTTTGTAAATCATATGAAGACAAAAGATCTTTATTTTAAAATTCTTTGATCTTATAAAAATCCAACGTAGCGACAATCGAATGACAAAATCAAAGGCGCAACAATATATATAATGTCGTAATTTCTTGGTGGGTCAGATAAAATTTCACGGGGGCCCGCGGGCCATAAGTTGAGGACCCCTATTTTGGAGGCATTAATTCAAGCTATCTCTCTGCTAGTATTTCAAACATCTTATCTCACAATGTCATTCATTAATCATTACAATTGAAGAGTTATAACTGTTTCTCTTTCCGTCTTTCAATTTTGTTATTGGAGATTAACGATGAAGTGAATTTCTCGATTATCTCAGAGAATGATTTCTGCACTCGTTTTACGAAGAATATTATTATTTGATATTTCTAACAATTAGATTACGATTACTACATTTTAGAATTATTTCTACTGTATCTACATTCCTTGCCGCGTTTTATCTTTGTTTCATCTTTGCCCCATTTTATCTCTTATATTTATCTCTCAATGTCTCTGAACTTTCGAGCGAGTTTCTTTCCTCGAAACTGGTGTTCGCGAGAGAGAATAAAGTGGGACGAGGCACTCCGCGCATTGTGCGCCTCTCTCATGAATATGAATGCGCAATCGTTCGTGTCTAAGCGCGTGTCTTTGAAGTTGGCTATCTATTATCGCGTTTACGAGATACGGCGACTTGCAGCGCACGGACGAACGAGCGCGGGTTAGCAGCCGCCACGATTTGTGTGTAGTTAGCCCGGTATAAATTATTTCGGAATTTAGAACACGCGCCCGAAAATAATTTGTTTCCCAGAGAGCCGCCGACCTCTCGTTCGCGTGTTCCGTGTGACGTACCTTCGACATATCGACACCGCTCCTGACAAATCCCTCGATTTTGTAAACGTGGTTCTTCTTCCTCCGCGATTTTGTCAGTAGAACAGCGATAACAAAAGGGTAAAATTAAAACGCGACGAATATTTAATCGGGCTAATCAATGCCATTCCTCGATCTTCTTTTTTTATCCAGAATCAAGCTGAAAGAGGTAAAAAAAGTAATAATTAATGAAACGTATAATATTACCAATGTACAATATGCAATATAATAATTACAAGACAATTAATATTCATTATGAGCTACAAAAGTATAGTTATTAATGTAGGACGGCACGCATGATTATTTCTTAAGAAAGAATTGCTCGTTTTACGCACATATACATGTGTGCATATATCTGCATATATGTATATGTATACATGTATAAATAAGAAATTCTTATTCATCAAGAAATGATTATGAATACTATCTATATTTTTGCAAACTGAAGTTGATAGTTGTAGGTAATAAAAACGATAAAATTTGATGAATTGTAAAAATTAGACAGTTCAGTCTATAGACTGAACTGTTGTTGCATTTCCTATTTCTGGATTTTAAATTATTAATAATTTATATATATATATAATATATTTTATAATATATATATATATATATATATTATATGTATATGCACAGTGCATTGCACAAGCACAATATTTTCCTCAGAGCGATGCGATAACATTATTGCACATCTTCCTTTCGATGAGGTAAATGAACCAGGTATGGGATGGGATGGGCGTGTCGTGTAAAAACTATCGTTACTAAATTATATGATGGATAATATAGAGTACCATTATACGTGCATACGATACTTGTGAGATTATCAGTTAAGATCGCGTGGATGAGAGCGCTAAAAGAAAGGATTCTAAAAAGCGCTTTAAAAAAAAAACATTCAGTTAAAGAACTATTTTTTAAATATTATATATATATGTGTGTGTGTGTGTGTGTGTGTGTGTGTGTGTGTGTGTGTGTGTGTGTGATGTGTATGTATATTTTTTCTTTTTACATAAATTACAGAAAGTAGAAATCTAAACTAGGACAAGTAAATAGAAATTTATTTTAGGAAAACGATATAGATTTATATGATAATCTCGAGAATGCAAAAGGATGAGAGAAATTAATTATGTGTATATTAATTAAATTTTTCTTGAAAAATATTCTTAAGTTTGTAACACCGAAAGAAATTATTATAAAAATTAAGAAAGAGTTACAATTGATGAAAGTTAGCTAAATTTTCGCAGCGCATTTTTTTATCAGTCACACAAACAGTTTGGCATTAAATTGCACGTCTCCAATGTTTGCTTTCGCCGGCAAACTTCCTCTGGCGTTGATAACCTTTGCAGAATAATAATCTTATCTCGCGCATTTGCTATGCAAAGTTACGAAGGTAACCACCTCGATGCTATCTGCTCCATAATTATTGTTAGAAGGTTAAAGCCAACATGTGTGATGTGACAAACAAATTTCTTTAGTAATTTGAAGGAAATTCGAATTAATAATTATTTTTGAATTGAAATAAATATTGAAATGTTGCACGATCTTTTTTTTTATATAGTTTCGGTATCATGTTACTTGCGAATGAATGCCAACTTGGCGCTGACTGTAATAATCGTATTGATGTTGTAAACTAGTTATTTCATAACGATATTAAATAAGATTATCAAATGATGAAACATCTTTGTCGCATTAAATATAAACAAAAGATCTAATATATCATAAATACAGTTTCACGTATAGATTAAATCTCGAATTAAATATATATGTACGGAGTAATCTGAAATAATTCTTGAAGAATTACGAAGAATAATAAAATTAAGAGGAACAAAATGAATCCATTTGTCATTGGTCGAAAATTATCAATTTGCCGCATAAAAAATTTTTATTTAACTAATTCCCAATTTATAACTCCGTCAAAGTCTCAAGTCCAACTTAGGTGTGAACGGTTTTTTTATATGCTTGCATCTTTCAAGCTTAATCGACGCTATCTAAAATTAACAATCGCGATTGTACGACACAATCGACGCTAAACGTTTTTGGGCTGGGCGATTCGTCTGTCATTTAATAATACGTATCTGTTGCTCGAAAACGAGTAATCTGAGCATTAAAAAATATTGTTGAATGGGGAAACCCTTTCATGTGGAATGTGCTCCTCGGAACAGGCGGGAAAAGTTTTTACGCCGTCTTATGCGAAGCGTGGATAATCATCGGGTAACTTAAATCACACGCTTCGCCTTCGCTAATGAATGGCTATTCTCTCTCGTACTCCGTAATTTTTGTCGCCTGAATAAGACGTTAGACATGCCATAAATGTGGATACGCGAATATCTGTTTATTCTGGAGCGAGTCCCTTACGAACAGCGTCATCGCAAACGAGTTGCGATAGGCCAGCTATTTTCAGGCATTGTAGTTAGATAGAATTATATTTTTTATTTTAATATCACATATAGAGACGGCGCGCGCGTGCATATATTAATATAATTTTATACAATACATATATATTTTAGAATTTTTTTGATTTAATAACTTGAATTAATTTCGAGAAATACGTATTATATAGGTAAAAACTTGCTCCAGTTTCTCTTTTTTATTTTGATTCAAGATTATTCGTGTTGTGATCTTTGATTTTGCAACAAAACCGGACTTACGTGAAATATACGAAATAAATTGATTACGTATTTATCGTTAAGCGTCGCAAATAAGATCGGTATCGCTTAATGGCTTATACGAATAATTCCGCTCGATAATATCGCTATCGTAACAATATACGAATCGATATGTTTGCTTAACGCAGCGGAGCCGTTTTTATCTGTACAC